AGCCCATTCGAATTGTCAGAGGTTTTTCAATCAACTTGTGACATTGAAAACACTTAAAGTTCCATAAAAAAACCGTATAAATAAGAGCAAATGAATGCATAAGTGCAAAACATTTCCCACGGATCTGTAGTTAGTTTTTAGTCAGTTGGACCAACTTTGAGAGAACTGTAGTGACAAAACTCGTGTTTTATGACGAGAAAAAACGATTTCATAACGATCATTAAAAAAAACTTCATAACTCTTTCATTATTATTTATGTTGAATAAAAACCACTGTAGGTGAAGCTATCAGCAGATTCGAGTTTTTCCAGCCCGAATTCGCTTGGGAACTTGTGCCAAATCTCCTATTCTTGTTCCAAGTAGAATTCCACGTGTTCAATCTATTCGTATAATTAGATTTCCAATATCTCAAACTGGTCATCTGAAAAAAACGGTTTTTCGAATTTTTTCCCATGAAGTTCAGATCACCTGGAAAGTACTTCCAGCCCCAATTCGCTCAGGAACTTGCGCCAACTCCCTTAATCTTCTTTCAAGTACAACTCGACGAACTCTAACCATTGATATACTCACAATTCCGACAGCTCCAACCAGTCGCATAAAAAAATCAATTTTTCCATTTCTTCCCCATAGAGTCCAGATACCCTACAAAGTAATTCAATCCCAATTCGCTCAGGAGCTTGTTCCAAATCTTCTATTCTTCTTCCAAGTAGAACTCGATGAGCTCTACCCATTCGTATCATCACATTCCCCACTAGTAGAATTAAAATTTTCACGTTTTTCTACAGCGCGATCATCGTCCCAAGCACCATACACTGGGCTTTAGCAAAGCTGAGCAAATCGTTAGATAAAGCTCGGTGAGTTCTACTTAGAACAAGAACAGGACACTTCGAACAAGTTCCACCGCGGATCCCGAATGGAGCTACTTTTGAGAGCACATGAATCGCAAGACAAGGACTCATAAAATCGCTTTTCAGACAACAGTTTTGAGCTATGAAAAATCTGATTATACCAATCGATAGAGCTCGTCGAGATGTACTTGAAACACAAACCTGAGATTTGGAACAAGCTCTTGAGGGACTAGAAACACTTTTCCGAGTATCTCGACTCTAAGCAGAAAAAGTCGAAAAATTGATTTTGTAGGCGATCGGTTTGAGACATGGATAATATAATTATACTAATCGATAGAGCTCATCGAGGTATACTGGAAACAAGAATAGAAGATTTGAAACAAGCTCCTGAGCGAATTGGGGCTAGAAACACTTTTCCGAGTATCTCGACTCTAATCAGAAAACGTCGAAAAATCGATTTTGTAGGCGACCAGTTTGAGCCATAGATAATGTGATTATACCAATCGATAGAGCTCGTCAAGGTGTACTTGAAACAATAATAGAAGATTTAGAACGAGCTCCTGAGCGAATTGGGCTGGAAATACTTTTCCAAGTGTCTGGGCTCTAAGCAGAAAACGTCGAAAAATCGATTTTATAGGCGACCAGTTTGAGCTATGGGTAATCTGATTATACCAAACGATAGAGCTCGGTGAGATGTACTTGGGACTAGTATAGAAGATATGGAACAAATTCTTGAACAAATCCGGGTTGGAAAAAGTCGAAATCTGCAGAGAACTTGACTTACGTGGAAAACCACATGTCTACCGATTGCAAATATAGTACTCTGTTAATCTTCAAGAAAACGACGTTCCACATTTTATCTATTTATTTTCAAAAGCTAGACAATAGAAGAATAGTTGTGGAACGCCAAAGAAAGAAGATACCATACAATGCATGCTCGTATTCCTAATAGATTTCCGGACAATGGAGAGTTTTTTATCTAAGCTATTTGAAATGAACATTTAAAGACTTTTATATTTTTGAGTGCAGAAATGTCTTCTGAATCGAATGATGTAGAAATCATTCAATTATCTTGAAAGTTAACTCAGTAATTAGCACTATTTTCCGGATGATTGAATTTGTCCTTATTAGGAGAAGTGTTCCGAATAAGAACAATCAGTGGAAAAATGTTCCTAATTCGAACAGATAGTCAAAATATATATTAAAAAATTTTGTTTTAGTAAATGGGCTTCTTCTTTGTTAGCGTCAATAGAGGTCACTGTATTACCGCTAACTTCCAAATTGTGTTCTATTGGATTTTCCTCCACTTTCTAAGTGGCCAGTATACATTTCTCTCTGGACTTTTCCAGTTATTATCCTTCTTGTTGTTTTTCTCTTCAGTTGATGTTGAATCTTCCTCCCCGGTGGTCACGAGTTGTTTTTCTCTTCCCTTATCTTTTCCCCCTTTCATATTGTTCTTCATTATTATATTATTATTATTATATGTTTATTGTTATATTCATATTAATAAACCCATATATATATATCCCCAACTCATTCATCTTATTATCAACGTAATCAAAGTCAGTATGATTATTTACTTCATTTACGTTAGATCTCTCGTTCCCGTTGCAGACCGGGATTAAATATGCTGATCATCTGGCCATAACCGATAGTGTCAGGCTAGAATCACAATTTCCCCAACGAGAGCCTAACATTCTTTGATTCAACATCCAAATTTCTTTCCACTTTGGTTACAAAAATTGTTTCTTGATCGATTGTCAATTAACCTCCAGAAGTCCAGCTAGATAGGAGCTTGTCCAGTAGGTATCATAAGTACACCAACAGCAGTGCTTGATATGGACACTGTTTTTGAGCTTAAAGAAAAAATATTGTATATTGCTTGAACTCTTATGAATTCAATTACAGGATTTTTCTGTTTCGAAATTTGAATTTATTAAATGATTTTTTTTTGCATGGTATAAATCATCATGATCATGAATATATATTAATAGCTAACCAACATCTATTAAGCAGGTTGATATCGTTGAAAAACTCGTAGTATCGGTAGATAGATGTTTTAAAATAATGTATTTTTTAGAATTATTTTCATTATTTATTCATAATATCAAGGGAAACAATCTGAATTTTGATTCATGGAAGCAGTACACCGACAGTAAATGACATCGATATTTTTTTCTTTTGATGAAGTTGAATTACAACAATTTTCAACTAAGATGAACTCACGTCTGGTAGAGTATCCATTTATGTTATATTACATGGTTTCATTGAAATAGAAAAGCTTAACTTCTAGAAATTCATTTATTTATACGTTTATCCTGATATATTGTTGAAATATGAAAAGATTAAATTATTCAAATGAAAATTTGATGAAAGCTCTAGAACAAAAAAAAAAGAAAATGTAGCTAAATTATTTGGAGTAACGTCGAAATGCGGTGTCCCAGAAAATACAATACATAATCAAAGTAGTAATTCACAAATGATATTTGAAAGGGGTCGTCCAACGCTGCTAACAAATGACCAGGAACAACGTTTAGTCGAATTATTTAAAAATCTTGAATTAATTGAAGTGCGTTCAACAAAGCTAGTTGTTATCAAACTAGCATCTGACTATGTCAAATGTATTGCTGGTAAAATACCTAAAGTTTTTTAAATAAATAATGAATTTTTTTCGACCAATTAATTATCTTAATTAACCCATTCGAGGCGATGGGGTCCACCGGTGGACCCCACTATATTTTAGCAAGAAACTTAATAGAAAAACACTTTCTTTTCTTTTATTCTTAGGCGGAAGGTTACACGTAGTGTGTGATCTGCTCTGTACCTTTGCTATTTTCAAAATCATTTATTACATAGCATGATGCTTCTCGTTAAAACAATCAAGGCAAAAAAATTTGTTACAATCAGAACAGAAAGTTTTGATTCTCTTTGTTGTTGAATGACACGCTTCTCTTGATTGATGTTCTCTGTTTTTCTCGTAACAACCAACACATCGTCTTCGGGCATCGCAGTCAAATCCTTTCTTTTCTTCCAGCTTGTGATCAGCTAGTTTGCGCTTCAAATGGCTCGTCGATTGTTGTCTCGGACCAGGTTTCAGATTCTCGGAAGACACACCAAGGAGTAAAGATCGCACGACATTCTCACAGAACTGTAGGATGGTTATGTCGCCTGTTGCATAGTTTTCTTTGTATATCAAATAGCTATTCACTATTGATGTTCCAAATATCAATTCAAATGCCACCTTTTGATACCATTTTATGGACCGTCTTAGACATGTGTAGTATGCTGATAGTTGATCCGACAAATCTGTACCTTGTTTTCCTTTATTGTAATCGAGTACAACTTTTGGTTTTATAATGCGCTCGTTAGATGACGTAGTTTTTCTGATGTCCACGAGAGCAGTTGTATGAGACGGCTTGGTAGATATCATGAAAACTTCTCTTTTATCTTTCCATTTGACCAACTTAACACCATCGCCATTCTGTAGCCCATAAATCTCACCCTTCTTGAGCTGTTTCTGGACAACTGCTTTTCCGGATCCAACACGATTACTTCGCAATGTTCCAATGAGGTAGGTATCATTTCCCAACAATCGTTTGGCGAGAGCAATATTTGTAAAAAAATTGTCAGCTACTACAGTTCGATAACATCCAAAAAGATCTTCTAATAATTCCATAGTGACTGTTTGAGAATGTCCAAGATTAGTCGTTGGGTTCTGTTTTCCTGTATAAATAATAAAATTCCAAGTATATCCATTCGTGTCTGCTACTTTGTACATTTTAACCCCATATTTGTGTACGTTGCCGGGAACATATTGCCTGAAGGAGAGTCGACCTCGCCAGGGTACCATTGTTTCGTCAACAGTAATGATAGAACCGGGCATATAAATCGACTTAAATCTAGCTTTCAATAAGATCAAAAGTGGATTCAACTTAGCCAGTTTATCTTGATTAGCATCCTGTTCCTCATTGTTCGAAAAATGCAAAAACTTGAGAAGTAATTCGAATTTGTCTCTCGACATTGTATTTTGAATGATTTCTGATCCATACAATTGGCCTTTGCTTCAGTAGTAGTCTACTTTTGGCATTTGCACTCAACCCATCTCGATGACTATCCCCAAAAATTTCAGCATTTCTTCGTGAGTAGTTGGTTCTCATTGAAGATTTTTTGATCGCTTGTTAAGTTTATGTGTTAGTAAGTATTGTTCTGCATATCTATTAGTTTCGCGAACCATAAGGCTTATAATCTCGTCGATGATGAAATGTCGATAGCAATCAATAGGATTGATTGTACCATCTTCGGAAATTGGCGTCACTTGTTCAACAATTCCATGATCCTCTAGAAATTCACCATCAGATTCTGATTCTATTTCACTCCAGACGTTTGAATTCATCTCATTATCAGTGACTTCTTCGTCGGAACTTGTAGATTCCAAGTGCATTCCAGCAAAATCATCATCCAAAGAACTCACTTCACTGAGCGAGTCAACGCTATCTTCCGTACGGGCTTCTTCTGACGACATGTAAAATATTTCAAGAATTCTGACAATTTTGATCGCTTTTATACTGATGAGCAGCAATAAGCAGAATAGACACGAATTCAACAGAAAAATCTAGAAACTTCCTATCCTTATCTCGCAAGTAATGTATACTACATATTACAGAACGAAAAAATAACTTGAGTCATTATACAGCTGGAAACGAGATTCAATTCACTATCTAATGGTGTAAACAAGAAGGACAGTAAAAAAATCGATAGGACAGAAAGAAAAGGTCAGTAAGTGCATTTACTAGAAGTTTATTCTTCGTGGAACGAATATCTCGATGAATTTCTGTACGAAAACTGAATCGCCTCGAATGGGTTAAGCACAGATTTATCTGATACACCCAAGATATACACAGACAAATTATCTTTTCAAGATCTTCTCAAGATCTTGCTTATCGATCCCAAGATTTCAAGATCTTGCTTACAAGATGTTTGACTAGAGTATATATCTTCTTGTTGCTTTTAGAGCAAATGTCCCTAATATCGACACCAAAAAATTATTTCATCTTGTTTGAGTTCGTACATAGCTATTTTACATATGCTTGCAAATAATTTTATATATGCATGATCCCTAGATTCTCCTCTTTCAAATGGTTTATAAACGAGTTTTCTTCTAGAATGTTTTGACAGAGAAATCAGCGGTCTACGATCATGGACTCCATCTGTCGTTATTAGGAGCACTGTCCCTAATTTCGACAGCAAGCCATTTTTTGTCCCTAATTTCGACACTTATACAAAATTCAAGCGAAACCTTATTTTTGATATGAAACAAATTTTTTTACGGTTTTTCACCGGAAAACGAGCAAAGGTCACTAGAGCAATTTTGTAGAGCATCTCAAAATCTATCATAATCTAAAGGTTCATCACAAACGAATTTGTTTTTCAATTAGTTCAATAACTTGTGAGGATGATGTCTAAAATTGGCGAAAAAAAGATGTCCCTAATTTCGACACCAAGCTATTTTTTGTCCCTAATTTCGACATCAAGCCATTTTTTGTCCCTAATATCAACACCAAGCTAATTTTTGTCGCTAATTTAGACACCAAGCTAACTTTTGTCCCTAATTTCGACATCGGGCTATTTTTTGTCCGTAATTTCGACATCAAGCTATTTTTTGTCCCTAATATCGACACCAAGCTAATTTTTGTCGCTAATTTCGACACCAAGCTGATTTTTGTCCCTAATTTCGACATCGAGCTATTTTTTGTCCCTAATTTTGACACCAAGCGATTTTTAGTCCCTAATTTCGACACCCAGCTAATTTTTGTGTGTAATTTTGACACCAAGTTATTTTTTGTCCCTATTATCGACATCAAGCCATTTTCTGTCCCTAATATCGACAACAAGCCATTTTTTTGTTCCAAATATCGACATCAAGCCATTTTTTGTCCCTAAGTTCAACACATCATTACAAAGCTAATATAAACCTCTTAGCACAGTCCGTGCGGAAATAAAATATGGAACAGAAAATAGCTGTTGTAATGCCAATTACTAATGTCTGCTACCATTTGTGGGAAGGGAAGTTGATGAAATTTCAGTGTGGGGTGTGGATGTCAGTGTAGGTGTGGGTTGTGGGTGTGAGGTGGGTGTGGGTGTGGATGCTAATGTTGCCTTCATTCACACCCACACCCCACATACCCACACTCACACCCCACACCCACACTCACACCCCACACCCACACCCTTATAAAGATATAGATTATTTTTTTTCACACATTTAAGATCATATTTTGAAGTTTTTCATGAGCACAAAAATGCATTCATAACATCAGTTGGATTCAGTTTCAGTAAAGTTTATTGTATCGGCAATTGGTCTTGGAAGAAATGGCTCCTCATTTCTGGTACTCTTCGGTTTCTGTTACTTTTGAATATACTCGTTGTATATTTTAATGGCATTCCACCAAAAATTTCAACGAATTTGTTCAAACATAGTGTTCGAGTTTCCATATGAGTTCGTCGTTTCCATAAACCACCTAAATTATACGGTTTTTCCCATGCATCTATCACAACTGGCCCTTGCTTAGTAATATTAGCGACTAAAAAATTAAATAGTATATCGTCACAGTTAGTTAGAGATTCTACCAAATCTCGTGCACTTTGTGGTAACTTATATGTGTATTGATAAAGATAGCGACGATGAAATACCAACCACGATGGATGCACGATGCTGTAAAATGCACCATTTTTTGATAGTAATCGTTTGTTACTATGAACATATTGAAGAGTGACATTAATGTAAGTTGGAATATGATTACTTCCTAGATGTGAAAAACCAACAAGATTATTGAAGAAATGTCCTCTCCAAGTATCGATAGCAAATGCCATATCAGAATACGGCATATCCGAGTCATCGTCCATGTTGATAATACAATCTGTTCGAATTTCATTGTGAGGATAAAATCGATTATTTAATGAATTTGTTTTCATTTTTAAAATGTGTACAGGAATTCTGAATTTGCTCAATTGTTTCTTTGGTATGGGCTGAACATCAACATTATGCCAAATCACGATAATCGCTGATAGGTAAGTAAAGTTTTGATAGTAAGCCAGTCGATCTAACGTTGCATTCGTTCTATCATATACTGTTAAAATCATAGTGCACGTATCAAACGTAGTCAACTTAGTCATAGAAATTTTCAAGTCGTTTAAAGAGTTGACTCTTTTATGATGAGCACTGTAGACTTGAAGATTACCAAACGAAGGCGTTTCTAAATGTTCGAATATTTCTTTGTTGTACAATAGAGGAACACTAAACATCATTCGTCGTTGTGCTTTAGCAGTAACCGTTGAGGGTTTGTTATGCAGACCGCGTTCAAGATGATTTGTGCTTAATGAAAAATTATGTTGGAAGTTTGGATAGATTAAACAACCTTGCTCTTGATACATAAATCTTAGCAGATACTTTTTCCAGCTTGTCTTTTGTGGCCAACGATTTGTGTAAGAATTCGGGATAAGTGGATCAAATTTATTCTTAAAAAAGTCTAAGAAGTTTCGCCACACTCTAGGTGCGTAGAGAGCTCCCCAGCTCTGCGGCATTTGATAGGCATACAGTTGGTAGCCATTGGACACATTTACGTACTTTTGGATTACCTCATTGAAATGCTGATTGTACACTCTAAAAAAAAAAGGTTTTGTCGGAAACCTATAGAGGGTTTCCGGGTTTGTCACTATATGAAACCCTTTATAGGTTTCCGAGAAAGGGTTTCCGAGCTCTCGGAAACCTTCAAAAGCAATGAAAAAAGCTCACAATCTCGGAAACCTATTGAAGGTTTTCGAGACTTCGAAAATCTTCAATAGGTTTCCGGCAGCTACTCACTACCCTTATTCTATCCCCTTATTCTAATCCCTTAATCTATCCCCTTATTCTAACCCCTTATGTTAATCCTTTATTCTAACCCCTTATTCTAACCCCTTATTCTAACCTCTTATTCTATCCTCTTATTCTAATCTCTTATTCTAACCGCTTAATCTATCCCCTTATGTTAATCCCTTATTCTATCCACTTATTCTAACCCCTTATGTTAATCCCTTATTCTAACCCCTTAATCTAAATCCTAATTCTATCCCCTTATGTTAATCCCTTATTCTAACCCCTTAATCTATCCGCTTATTCTAACCCCTTAATCTAAATCCTTATTCTAACCCCTTATTCTATCCTCTTATTCTAACCGCTTAATCTATCCCCTTATGTTAATCCTTTATTCTAACTCCTTAATCTAAATCCTAATTCTATCCCCTTATGTTAATCTCTTATTCTAACCCCTTAATCTATCCCCTTATTCTAACCCCTTATTCTAAATCCTTACTCTAACCCCTTAATCTAAATCCTTATTCTATCCCCTTATTCTAACTCCCTATGTTAATCCCTTATTCTAACCGCGTAATCTAACCCCTTAATCTAACCCCTTATTATAATCCCTTCATCTGCCCCCTTATTCTAATCCTTTATTCTAACTCCTTAATCTATCCCCTTATTCTATCCTCTTATTCTAACCCCTTATTCTAACCCCTTAATCTATATCCTTATTCTATCACCTTATTCTAACCGTGTAATCTAAATCCTTATTCTAACCCCTTAATCTAACCCCTTATTATAATCCCTTCATCTGTCCCCTTATTCTAATCCCTCATGTTAATCCCCTATTCTAACCCCTTAATCTATCCCCTTATTCTAATCTCTTATTCCATTGCTTATTCTAACCTCTTCATTTAAGGCCTCACTCTACTCTGTTGTTCTAATTTCTAATCCAAGTCGTTAACCTATATCTATCCCCTTATTCTAACCGCTAATCTAACTTCTTCATCGATATCAAGGGGAAAGAAACTGATTTCTAATGCCAGAAATCAATTTGAAATCAACAGAAATTAATAGAGATCATTGCTATTGTGTGTATATCTCAGCTTGTCAGAATTTTGATATCCATAGTACGGGTAAGAAATCAATGTTATCTGAGAAGGAAAAAATTGTGAGATTGATTTTTTCGTTAGGGCAAGTGTGTTTTCCGAAAATGATGATTTTCGTATAAAGTTTGATCGGAAGCTATCGGAGTCGAGCAATCCAAATCTATAAGTGATTTCGAAAAATTTTCGAGTTTCGATTTTTTTGTCAGGGTGAAGCAATTTCTCATAGTTTTGCCAGCTCTATGGGAATATCCGCATTTCTGCAAAATAGGCCTTCAGTGGCCAAAAAAATCAAGCTGATAAATTTTGAAAAGCGAGTCACAGATTCGAATTCCTGGACCCCCATGACCTTTGGCCAAACTTTATAGCAAATCGTTATTTTTTGAAAACAGCCTTATCCTAACAAAAGAATGAAACTCACAAATTTTGTAGAACGACTTATAGATTCGAATTCCTGGACCTCGATAACCTTTGATCAAACTTTATAGAAAATCGTTATTTTTTGAAAATAGCCTTATCCTAACAAAAAAAATGAAACTCACAAACTTTTCGTTACCGGTTATTTGGCAACGGAACGGTAGCGGACTTCCTCGAACTCGAAATCGGCAGAAATCATGGAAATCACTAGAAATCAAGAAATCGGAAATCAGTTTGTTCCTCTTTGATCTGTATCTGTCCCCTTATTCTACTTTCTTGTTCTACCCCTTTATTCTAACCTCTAATATAACTCCTTAATCTATATCTATCCCTAAATGTATCGTGCTAATCTAAGTCCTTAATCTATGTGTATCCCCTTATTCTAGCTCGTTGTTGTAATGTCTTATTCCGTGGTCTTATTCTAACGCTTTAATGTATATCTGTCCGCTTATTGTAACCCTTAATCTAACTTCTTAACGTTGATCTGAATTTCATATTGGTGAACATGTGTCCATAGTATAACGAGGGAAGAAAAACCTAAGTTCGGCACGAAATCGCTTGACTACGATGCCTTTAGAGGGCATATAGTGACCATCCAATTTAGCGCGACTCCTCGATTTTCACAGTAAAATGTGTCATAATACATCCAAATTTTAGGCTATTTGAAATATAAAAACGAATTAGAATTCTTTTGGGAACAAGGCCTTCTTTTACACTTCTCAGATTTCTTATGTTTTACAAAGCAACTTCATACAAATTAAGTAAGGTTTATGTCATGCATATCGAGCACCGCTTTACCTGAAAATCACACGATAGAACATGAGAATAAAAAAGATCATATTGGAATGCTAATCGGGTTTTGCATACTACTTAATGGGTTTTCGAAACTTTCTCTCGAAAACTCAAAGGTTTTCGCAACATTCGGAAACCCTAAGGGGTTTTCCAGTTATGTTCGAAAACCTTGCTAGATTTCTGGAAAACGCTTCGACCGTTTCCGATGCCCGGAAACCCAAAAGGGTTTTCGATAAAAAAATATCGAAAACCCAAAGGTATGCGAGGATACGCAATGGGTATCCGAAAAGGTTTTCGAAGCAAAAGCGGTTTCCGAGAATACGGTTGAGGGTTTCCGAATCCGCTCTCTCCAAAATCCATTGGTTTCCGGATGCTCGGAAACCTCAAGGTATTGTCAGAACCTCAACATAAGTTCGGAAACCCTTCCGGAAACCTAAAAAGGTTTGCGAAAAGGTTTCCGAAGGGGTATCAGTTTCCGAGGAAACCTTTTTTTTTTAGAGTGTAGAGGGATATCCCAAATAAGCGTCTATCTAATGTCAAGTTGTAAAAATAAGCTTTTACCAACTTGTCAATATATAGTAAAAAGTAAGGCGACAGTTCAATGTCATCTTCGAGAAAAACGGCATACTCGTCATTACTAAGAGGACGCCATGCTTCCATCATAATCGTTTTTAGACCTTGTCGTGCTGAGTAAGCAACAACATGAACATCTCCATGTAAACTTCTTAAACTGCTTAAATATTCAAGATATTTACGTCGTCTATCGTTGTTTTCATCCATATCCACATGAATAAATATGTCAATAGTTCTATTAATTGGAAGAGCCTTCGTCAGTGATTTCCACAATCGTTCAAATGACATCGACCGATTCATCGTTAATAATATTAATTTTAGAGTGAAATTTGTCTCTTGTAAAATGCTTAATTTTTGCTGATTCGTGAACTGCTCGTGAAGAAGTTTATTGTTCGATAAGGCTTCATGGCGTATGTCGTAGACTCTATTCAATCGTCTCAGCAGCCATAAACCATCAAATGATTTTCGCTTAGGATCAGTAGCTGTCACTGTCTCTAGGCGATATTCTGAAGTTAGTGTTCGTCCCCAAGATTGATATGGAAACTTTAATCCGTCTGAAAGAAACGTTTTGTATGCTTGATTTTGTGAAAACTCATATGGATGACGAGAATTAGGAACGTAAGTAAGTCCATTTCTAATTGGGATACGTTGTGTAAAATTATTCTTAGGTGATAGATTATATATATTGATAGAATGATCATATTCAAATATATTTAAACGTATGGCATATTTTCCAAATAATAAATGTGCAAACATTTGTAAAAAATTCGCACACAATATCCATTCGCCTTTGAAACCGCCTTCACCTCGAGGTGAAAATGGTATAAAAAAGTTTACAATTGATTTGTGATAAATAACCATTCCGTTATCGAAGCCTGTTAGTGGTGCAATAGCGTCATTTTCATAGACTGCCGCTAATTCTTTCATAGCTGAAATCCTTTTACCAGCAGTAGTCCATGCAAAACCGACTATTGCAGGTCGATACGTTTTCAATACGTTTATTAACAAGTTTGGAAGAGAGGTTTCGGAAACATAGAATTGTTGCTTGACACGAAATGTTAAATCATCATCATGAATAAAAATGTAGTCATAGGGCTTGTCAGTGTTAACTATATCATTAATTATTAACTCAATACCTTTGGTCCAGGATAAATTATCATCTGAGTAAACGAAATTAATGTTATTTGGAAACGTAATTTGTTCTGTGATATTGTCATTCCATATGAACCAAAACGAGTCAAATT